CATGATCGTGGACGAGGGCCAGCTGAACAAGTTTAAGAAGAGGTTTGGTGGGCTTGAGGAGTTTGCCGAGATCGGCGCAGCAGCAGGCTCATCTGGTCCAGCCACCGAGGATGAGGGTATGAAGAGGATTGGGGGCAAGGCCAAGGCCACAAAGAAGAAGAGGCGCTGAGCTGCGGCTATCCCTGCTGCTGCTGCTGCTGCTGCTGCTGAGATCAGCTGCAGGGTGCAGGGTGGTGTGCTGGATTGCAGTTGTAAGGGTGCTGAGGATGGTTCAGCAGGAGGGGTTGGGTTGTGGGGTGGTTTTTAGAGGCGGAGGTGAATGCAACTGGCTGCAGTGGTGCTGGCTGTTGGAGGGTGTTAGTGGTAGCAGTGCACAGAGGCTGTGGCTGCAGATGCAAGCTGCAGCAGGCATGGCAAGCGCAGCAGGAGCACTGCGTGTTTGCTGTTGAGCCAGTGATTGCTTAACATATTCGTGCTTGGGCATTGCTGCTGCATCCCTGCAGGTGTTGCCATGTTGGTGCAGCTGCAGAATATAACTCTCTGCCCATTGGGCAGTTGCAGTAGTGTGTTGCCTTTTTTTATACAAGGACAAGGATTGTAACTGGGTTCACATACCAGGCTTCACATACCAGGAAGACGCCTTGTAAATAGGACGATTCTATGCATGGTAAAAGCATAACTGCGCACCTTCAAGCAGAGAGTGCATTATGTTGCATGATGCTTATGCTTGTAATGAATGCATTTCGGCAACTTTCTTTATATAAGCAATGCTGGTCCAGAAGCCTTTCGGGCGACATAGGAGCAGAAGCAGGAGCTGCACATGCTAATCTGAGGTGCAGCAGCCACGGTGGCCTTTCGGGGGACCACTTCTTGCCATGTGAGTGCGCATTATGTTGCATGATGCTTATGCTTGTAATGAATGCAATCCGGCAACTTTCTTTATATAAGCCCCTTGTGCTGTGCTGGCTGAAAAGGCTGGAGCCTCTCGAGCCTGCTGAGCTCAGCAAGCCTGGGGGCCCCCTTGCACAGCTTTCCTGCATCATGCAGGATGCGTGGTGCCTGGCGCGTACTGTCGTCTCTGCAACTCGTGATACGTGACACAACCAGCTGAAACTCCTTACACAACCTATATGCAAACTCTCTGTGAACAACCAGCCATACCAACAATTGTGACTGTGATGCTTGTCAACACCTGCAGCGCGGGCTGCCACCAGAAGTTGCCACTTGGCGTTTAGCAGGAACCTTGTTGCCACGTGCCAGCATGACGACGACGAACCAGCGAGCTCACGCTGCGGATGAGCAGCGAATGAGTTGATTTAGGTCCAGGAACTGCAGCCCGGCTGCAGGCTGCAGCCAGGCACGGTGCCAGTTCCATTGCTGTGCTGTCTGCTGGGACAATATGTGCGCAGCTGTTGGCCGTCACTGCAACAACAATGCTGTGCTTGTCATGAAAGGTACGTTCAGGGCCCTGCAGCTGCTCTGCAAGCCGGCTGCCTCGCAACCTGAAGTGCACATTGGCGTCACCACTGGTGTCACCAGTGCCAGCTCCCGCCATACGGGCGTGCACAGATACAGGCAACTGGTTCTTGCGGCTGCAATCAAGTACAAGACGCTTTTGTCTTTGAAATAATTTCAAATGCCTTTGTGCAGAGATTGCTGCAGGAGCAATGAGGAGCACCTCGCGATAGGCGTGCTGAAACTGCGATCGATCTTGAAATCACCACTGCATGGTTTTCAAAGCAAATTTTTATGCCTGAGATGATGATATTGCTTGCAACTGGAGGGTACGAACACTGTTGCTACCCCACATATTGGATCTCCTCTGCTCCTCATCAACTTCAATACAGTTAGCAATTAAATAGGTGTATACTCTACGTATGTGTCGGGTGCATGACAGCGGCTGGCGTATTCATTCGCCTTTGCAGGGGAAGTGGACCGTCGCCTTGCTGCGAAAGTTGCAAACTGCCCTGCCCTGTACAGCCTCCAGCGTATGCACCATAAATTCGAATCATGCGTTTGTTATGTAATATACCGCAATGAGCTCCACAGAAATGCTTGCACGATTGGCAATCTGGCTGTTCGCAGCGGTGGCAGCAACTGCTGCAGGAAATGCTGCGCAGTTCAGCAGATTCGACTTTCCCTTTTCGTTGTATTTGCTGCACACTGCGACGGCCTGGGCGTTCGCACGAGCAGCAGTACTGGTGTTGAACTTGAAACTGGACTTGGGCGACCAAGCAGAACATGCAGCGACGACGTCGGAGGATGCGGGCCCATCCAAGCAGAAGCAGCTGATGATTGTAGGGCTGTTGCTGGGCGGCAGCATGGCAGCGTATGCCCTGCTGCAGACCATTGAAGCCACTTCCATCACAGCCACTGCAGTGCTCAAGGTGAGCAGTGAGCAGCAACTCTGCCAGGCAATTGCAAGACCCTGATGCCTTGTTCTGGCAAGACTCATGCTGTGCTCGACGTCCAGCTGGATTTGCTTATGCATTTTCAGAGCTCTGGTACATACGCACCTCTCAGAGTCTGCATGTACACCAGAACACTACCCTCTCAGAGCCTCTGTGCAGGAACTGCTTGCTGCACCTGCGCATTTGAAGCATTCTCCACATTTTTGCATCCCCCAAACTCCCTGCCGCTGCTGCTTTGATTGCTGCTCCCACTGCAGTCCTGTGCCCCTGTGCTGGTCCTGGGTATCAGCCTACTGATGCATTTGCAGTCACCTTGGCCACTGTGGAATACGCTGCTGGTACTGGCCATATCTGCCGGTGCTGGTCTTGCCAGCTATGAGGGCCAACACATCTTCTGGTTCTGGAGGTCAACAGGCCTTTTCCTGCAAGCCGCCATAGCTTTCCTGCAAGCCAGCGGCATCTTCCTGCAAGCTGGCAGCATCTGCATGCTGCAGAAGGCTCTGCAGCAGCGGGTTGACACGCTGCCTCACGCAATGAGCCTAGGGGGACGCACCAGCAGCAGCGGCAGCAGCCTACTGCGCACCAGCAGCAGCGCGAGCACCAGCAGCCGCGCCAGCAGCAGCAGCACCGGCTGTGTTAGTGACGAAGAAGATGTTGTCATGCCAGCTGGCCCGCCACCTCTGGCAGTGCAAACACACATTGCATGGTATGCAATGCTTGTGCTGGCAGCGCCAGCGCTTCTGCTCGAGGCACCAAAGCTTGTTGCTACCTTTGCTGGCTGGAAAGCTGCACTGCCCACCCTCCTGGCCAGTATCAGTACATTCACAGTGTACTGCCTGCTGATGATTGTGGCAGTACAGGCAAGCTCAGCCCTGACAGTGAGCCTGATGGAAGTAACAACAACAGCAGCAGTCAGCCTGGGTGCTGCGTTCCTGTACCCTTGGCACTCCAGCTTCGCTGCTGGAATGATCCCGCCAATGCAGTGGGGTGGCTTGGGAGTTGCAGTGCTGGGGCTGGCATTATATGCCTGGGGCAGAGCTTTGGTAGTGCGTGCAGGGCAGCTGAAGCAGCGGCTGAGTTTGGAGGCCCCCATCAAGACAGCAGCATACTGGGCTGCAGAAGACCCTGCAAAGGTGATGAAATGCAGTGGCACTGATGCTATGGTCTACATCCAGCCGCACCGAGTGAGGCAGGTTTCAGCGTCACCCTGGGTTCAGCAGCAGAAGGAAGGGTTTCGGCCGCTTGTGGCAGTACAGGATGTGATGGAGACAAGGACACCTGTATCAAACCTGCAGCAGCAGCAGCAGTGGCAGCCACAGCAGCAGCTGGTGTACTGCAGGTAGCGCAGTGGAGGTTGCTGCAGGGCAACCGTGGCAGATGATGTGGACGATTCTTGAAGGTGCTGGTGGATGTGTGGTGTGTACACGTTTGGGGCTTGCTACACTGCCACGCTGGTGCTGTGGCAGGTGGTTTGCCAGCAGTGTGTTGTTTGACGTCGGCCGTTGAAAGATGGTTTGATGAATAGAAGATCTGAGAGTGGTTTGTCACACTGCTTAGGTACCAGCAGCGCAGCACTCAAGTTGTCAACCTGACTGACTCCAGCTGTGATATGCTGCATGCACAGCAACGTCTGCAGGCCTTCTTATCTGGCACGATGCTGCACATGATTGTCTAGAATTCGTCAATTTCCATGATACCTTGTGCAGATGGCCAGCACACTGTACTACTGTGGTCACTGGCACTAGCTGGTGGCCGTGGCTGGTGCTATTTGTACAGAAACATCCAGCATTTTAAGCTGCACTGCCATCAGTCCAGCTGACACAGCAAGCCATCAGGGCTGCTATTTTGTCATTGTCTCTGGCTTGTGATTCTGTAAAGCACCTTTCCATGCGCATTGCGCAACGCATGCTGTCTTCCCATGCCACTAATACGTAGTAATGTGCACTCTCAACAGTGGATACATCCAACAAAATTAGACAACAACAAACGCCAGCAGCGTGCTCAGCAGCAGCTGCAGCAAGACAGCATTACTAGTAGCTGTTGACAGAATATTTGCATTGTGCTGTGTCAGTGAGGTCATGCTTTGATTGCCGCAAGTTCAGCATCAGACGACATGGGTGAATGGTCCCCAGCATAATGCTGCCTGTCACAGTTGCAGTAAACAACTTGAAGAGGCAACCTGTGTCACAAGTGCATGCTGACAGCACTGCTGACTCATGCACCACACCCAATTGTTTGTCCAGCATGTCTGCCTACCAACACCGCAGGGCTCCACCTTGCGCAAGGTGCATACACCCATCATCACACAGCTTGACTTGTAATCCAATCAGCTCACAGCATTGCTACCTGGCGCTGGCCCAGCACCGGGTGTACAAAGCATCCCAGGCTGTTGCTGCTGCACACCCAAACACCTCACCGACCAGCCATAGTTGTGGTTGGCAATGCTTGCTTGAGGTCAGGAGACATTGGCAAGTGGCACCTGCAGGTTCAGCAAACTTTGCAAGCTGTGGCAGTTAGTAGGCTGTTGGCATGCATGTGCACAGCAAGTCCTGCGCTGGCACCAAGTAGCTGCTGTTGTGTGATTTTGTTTTGCCCCGGCTGGATTTGAACCAGCGACTCCCGCAAGCGGGTGTTTTGCCAACTAAACTACGGGGCATTGGCCCAGCTGCCAATGCAGCTGGGCACTTTTTTATTTTTTATTTTTTTGGTTTTTTTGTTTTGTTTTTTCTACTTTGGTGCCAGCTCTGGGTGCTCGGCAATGATGAGTGCAAATGCATCCTCAAATGACATGGCCAGCAGCTGCTGCTCAATGACATCACACTCCTGCTGTGCTGCGTGCTCAACTGCAAAGCGCCGTGCCTTTTTAATGCGCTGCTCTGCTGTGGCACCCGTCTCAGCCTCAGCCACACCCAGCCTGGACACAAGAGGCGTCAGCACGGCTGCGGGCCAGCAGTGCTGCACGCTCCTCAGGTGTCAAACGGGGGCGGCCGGCATTGGCTGCAGCGCGGGCGGCAAGGGCAGCAGAGTGGTCAGCAGCATTTGCCTGCAGCACAGCAGCAGGCAGCTGGAAGATGTCCTCGGCAGCAGCAATGGTGCGCTCGATAGCTGCAACCACAGTGGAGAAGGCAGCAGCTGCAGATTTGTTAGCCACAGGAGGAGCAGCCTTGCTGGGGGCCTCACGCTTGGTTGCTGGGGCCTGTGTAGCAGCTTTGTTTGCAGCATTACAGAACAGCCTGATGACGAAAGCTTGAGAAGCAGTTGCAGCAGTAGATGCAGCAGTAGATGCAGCAGTAAAAGCACAACACAACGCAAAAGGCAGGCAGCATGATGCACGCAGCGACAACAAACATGCCAATGACAACAGACACGCAAGCCACGGAAACGAAAGAAAGCATGCACGCAAATGCGGCCAACAGCATCAACTGAGTCATTGGCAATGTCGACTTCGGGGCCATAGTTGAGAAGGTTGCTTGAGGTTGTTGAAGGTGTTGGAGGTCTCTTTGAAGCGCCGTTTGTACGAGTTGGTGACTGGTACGGTTGGTGAAGTGGCAATAATTGTGCCGCCTTTTATAGGATCGCCGAAAATGCCTTGCGTAACCAAGCCCTAACGACACATGCGTAACAAACTGGGGACTGTAGTAGGTTCAAAAAAGAGACAAGTGACTTATTAAAGTACTCACAAGCTGTAAAATGCTTGTCGAGTTATGTTTCGAGGCGAGAAACACAGTTGAGGACTCAAGTGCCTGTGCAGTGCCGGTGTACTGGCGTCGCAGCCGTACCCTGCCTCAGCATGCAGTACAGTGGACCCATTTTTAATTATTACATCATCAAGTTCAATTATGTCAGGCAACCAGCAGCAAACAAGTGCTGCGGAGCCACAGCACCATGCCATGTCACACGGTGGCAGACACTGGGCGGGAAACAAGTGGTGCTGCCAATGGACACGACAGCACGACTTTGATGGCAGTTATGGTGCCGCATGCGACCCAAGAACCATTGTTCAGGCGCGCTGCTGCGCACACTCAGCCATGCCTGCCAGCAGTGCTGCTGCAGTACTGCAGTGCTCTGTGCTGCAGTTTGTAGCACAGAGCTGGCCTGCGGCTCATCATCATCATCAGAGCTGGCCTGCGGCTGTGTACACGGACGATTCATGTTGACAGCTGAGAAAGTTAGCAGCATGCGTCGGCAGCTTTGTGCTTCTCACAGTGACTTGAGGTCCTTTTGCAACTGTGCGAGCCCATGCCATGATGCGAATTGCACATGCATGTAACCAGTGAGAAAGGGCAGGAGGTTGAAGCAGCAGTACTTGCCAGCACAGGTGCCTGTCAAGCACTATGGAGCAAACAAGTTGTGCAGTAGTACAGTACTGCTTTACCATGCTCATGTCATAGGCACTCACGATTTGTGTGTTACACGACGGGAACACAGCCCGTTTCCGAGCCAATGACAGGCTCATTGGGCAACCACTTGATCCATCAGCCATCCACTGGATCAACTCAATAGCAAACATCAGCTGCTGCAGTTGGTCACAACCGCTGAATACATGATCATCATCATCATGTTGCTCAATACATGATGTCAAATGTGCTGTACTTGTGGCCAAACTGAAGCCAGCACCTTGCTCGCAGCCCAGGTGTTATGCACAACAAGGACACCTCCCAGCAGTGTTGCTGGTGTGGTCCCTTCTGCTGCTGCCATACTGCATAAATTCACAACGATCATGCCAGATTGGCACACAGCATTTCAGCACTGCAGCTGCACCTGAAGACTCGCCTGACGCCTGCATCATTTCCCAAGGAAAAACAGCATACTGTAAAGAGGCCTAATGGAAGTTGCAGCTCGAGCCGTGTAACACCCAGCAACTTGCCTCTCTGACGCAGCTGTTTGACTGGCGCGTTAGCCCACAAGCTGACCACCCACCCAGCCACCATCATCAGCAGCCAGCCGGTGCATTCGCTGCCTGTCGCTACAGCCGGCGTGCATCAGCTGGCTCTTCAGCCAATGTATGCTGCGCTCCATCGCCAGCACCTGCGCCACCAGCCGCGCCTTCCTGGCCACACCCCACACGCTGCAGCCTCCGCATCGGTGATGTGAAATGATATGTATCCTCCTGCCGCACAGGAGCTGCTGAGCAATGCCAGCGCAGCTGGACGTCCTGCCAGGCTGCAGGCTGCAAAGTAGCTGGCTGGCAAGCTAGCGTCTTTCAGTCCCTGTTGCTGCAGCCGGCGTGCATAAACTGGCTCTGCAGCGCCTGCATGCTGCGCTTGTTCGCCAGCACCTGAGAAACCAGATGCGCCAGTTTTGTCAGGCTGCAGGCTGCACACCAACTGGCTGGCAAGCTAGCGTCCGTCACTCCCTGTCGCTGCTGCCGTCGCCGCATCTGCAGGCTGCAAAGTAGCTGGCTGGGCTGGCGCCGGTCGCTCCCTGTCGCTGCAGCCAGCATGCTTTAGCTGGCTCTGCAGTGCCTGCATGCTGCGCTCCATCTCCAGCACCTGCGCCACCAGCCGCGCCTCACGCCGTCATGCAACACAGGCACTTCCCTGTCTCAAGCAGTTGACTGAAAGGTTTGTCGGGCAGCAGCATGCCCACCCACCCAGCAACCATCAACAGCAGCCAGCCGATGAATTCACTCCCTGTCGCTGCAGTTGGCATGCATCAGCTGGCTCTGCAGCGCCTGCATGCTGCGCTCCATCTCCAGCACCTGCGCCACCAGCCGCGCCTCATACGCTGCAGCCTCCTCATCTTCCCGGCTGGCACCGTTAGAACTCAACAGCTGAGCTGGCAGCAACCCGGCCAGCTGCTGGCTGCCCTGCAGCCTAGCAGAACTCGCAGCAGTACAACTTCTGCTCAGCAGCTCCTGCGCGGTGCATTGGAGGCTGCTGTGTGCTTTGTGTGGAGGTGACATGCTGAGGTGCCGCCGCGGTGATCCGATGCAGGCTGCTGCGACGTCAGCAGCTGCCAGCCCCAAGCCAGATGCCAGGGAAGCCTCCTGCAGGACATGCTGCTGCTGCTGCTGCCGCTGCTGCTGCTGCACATACTGCGAATGGCTGCTGCTCCCGTGCACAGCAGCGAGGTGTGAGTTCCAGCCAGCAGCATGCTGACTGGTGCCGCTAGCAGCCGGATCCTGCAGCAGCTGCTGCAGCTGCTGCCACTCCGCCTGTGCGGCGCGCTCATCATGCTGCTGCTGCTGCCAATGCTGCTGCTCCTCTTGCGTGCGGCCATGCATCCCAGCCACAGGTGCAGGAACAGCTTGTTGTAAAGGGCTAGGCTCAAACTCATCCTCCTCCTCATCTTCATTGTCTGCCCGCTGCTGCTGCTGCTGCTGCTGCTGCTGCTGCTGCTGCAAGGGACCTGCACAGTGCCCCCGCTGGCCTCGTTGTCCAGGTTGCAGCCGCTGCTGCTGCCGCTGCTGCTTCTGCTGCAGCAGCTCCCGTAGCCGCCGCTGCCGCTGCATGTGCAGCTGGTGCAGCTGCGATGTCTTAGCACCTCCTGAGGGAGCAGCTGCGACAGGCGAGCCGCCAGCTGCATTGCCCTGTGCATTGCGCACAGCAGAGCTGCTGCTGTTGCCGCGGCGTATGCTGCTGCCGCTGCCGGTGCCTCCGGCTCCTGGAGGGGTGCTGCCTTTACTGCTGCTGTTGACGGCTGCTGAGCCCATGGGACCTCTAGCTAGGCTGCCGGCAGAGTTTGCAGTGCGGCGCAGGCTGCCAGCACTATGGTGGTGGTGCTGCTGCTGTTGCTGCTGCTGCCAGTGCTGCAGCTTTGAGCTCTGCAACTGCTGCAAGCCTTTCAACTGCTGCTGCTGCTGTGTACCATCAAACATGTCTGTACTGGAGTGGCCTGGCACGCATGTCCCCTGATGCTGCTGCTGCCTAGGCGGTGACTGTGCACGCTCCCTAAGTGGAGACGTGGCTGCTGTCATTGCTGCGGGTGATGATACCTTCGACGCTGAGCCTGGCCTGCCACCACTCGCCCGCAGCTGAGCATCCCTGCACTGCCTAGCCACAGCAGCACGTGCTGCTGCAGCAGCAGCCTGCGTGCTGCCACCCTCCGCCACCGCAGCACGCTGCACCTGTTGCTGCTGCTGCTGCCACTGTTGCTGCAGCAGCTGCTGCTGCTCATGTAGCTCCTCAAAGCTGCGCGGACTCGACCGGCCTGCAGCAACAGCAGTCACAGCAGCGCCAGCTGCAGCCGCATCCTCGCTGGAAATGTGACCACGTGCAGCAGCAGGGCTGCCAGGGCTGCTGCTGCTGGGTGCCTCGCCACCAGCAGCAGCAGCACCTCTTGGAGACCCTGCCCATTGCCCAGCAGCAGCTGCTGGAGTTATCCTGGCCACCTCCTGCAGCTGCACGGACAGCCCAGCAGCTGCTGCGGCTGCACCTGTGCGCCTACCCTTGCTGGCAGCAGTCGCCAGCTGCGTCAGCTGCTTGTGCTGGTCCAGCAGGCACTGCTCAAGCCGTGATATGTACTCCTCCCTCTGCACAAGCACCAGAAGCAGCATCGCATCATCATCGTGAGCAGCAGCAGCAGCCGAGTCAACTAGCCTGCCTTAGCAAGAGACTATCAGGTAGGCAACACCAGAAACACTGGAACTGCGAAGGCTCAGCAGCATGATTTGCAAGCCGTGCATGCCCTGCATACAGCCAAAAATAAAAAAAC